AATACTGGTTGCTAAAAAATCTTCTTCTCCATAACCACCAGGCAGATTTTCACCAAACGTACATACAAGGATCCGGATATGTCAAAGATTAAAATTTGCACGGGAGATTACCCCCGGGGCAAAGGGTGTGGTCTCAAGGTCACTTCAAAGTTGACCTAAATTTACAATTAATAAAAACGTGTATATTTTGCTTACTAGTGGACTTTTACGAGAAGCACTGACTTCTACAGTTGACGTTTACTTGGACATTTAAACTTGTATCATGTACAGAAATACAGAATTGATAATGCATAAAACCTTTCTTGTGGTCATAGGTATGGTATTAGGGGTACTAACATGTGGAGACCGGGAGCTGAGGGTAGGGTCGTTGTCGTTTTTCTTCAAGGACAACTTATATGTGCATTGAAATAACCCGTTATTTCCGTTTAATTAAATGTTGAGCTAAATATTTATATCGTGAAGGAGCTACCGTACATAGCCCTAGTGTAAAAGTAAGCGTCAACTGTAAAAGTCAGCGCTCCTCGTAAAAGTCCATTAGGACTAGGATCATCAAATCTTGTAAGTTGATGCATCTTACAACATCACATCATGTTAACTCAAAAGTAGGTCACGGTGACCTACTTTTTAAATTTTGCGGGGATTTGTTTTGAAATTGATTTGAAGGCATATTTTGCAAACTTTAAGGCCTATGATCATCAGACTTTGTCAGTTGATGCATCTTTGGTTCCTTGAACAATGTCAACTTAAAAGTAGGTCACCGTGACATACTTTTTGAACTTTATGAGTTATGACTTATCCTTTTAAAAACATTGAATCTCATTATTTCAGACACTGGGAGGTTTAGAATCATCAATTCTTGTACTTTGATGCATCTTGGGACCTTTAAACATATTTATGAATCAGAATCATCAAACTTTGTCAGTTGAGGCATCTTATGGTTTCATTGAATGTCCAACAAGAAATAGGTCACAGTGACCTACTTTTGAATATCTCAGATACTTACCGGCTTAGAAATATCAAATTTTGCCAGTTTAGGCATCTTGGGTTTTTGGATAACGTCGACCAAAAAGTAGGTCACAGTGACCTACTTTTGACATTTGATGGCTATATATAATTATCTCTGGTACTAATTGGCTTAGAACCATCAAACTTTGTCAGATGATGCATCTTGGGTTTATAGAGAATTTTGACCAAAAAGTAGGTCATGGTGACCTACTTTTTAATATCTCCGGTACTTATTGGCTTAGAATCATCAGTCTTTGTCAATTAATGTATCTTGTGTCCTCAGAAAATTTAAATCAAAAGGTAGGTCCCTGTGACCTACTTATGGTATTTTATAATTATTTAAGGAATCACTGTCTAGTTTTGAGAGTATGCCAGGACATCAACAATAATGGGAAAATGGGATAATTTACATAACGGGCTTCGTTGAATCTTAGCTTTATTTATTTACCATGTTTACACAGTGTATACATTATCCAAAAAAAGTAAAATGAGATGAAATGAAATTCACATTTACTCTAGCAAAATAGAGAGTATATTCAGACACAATAGTTGTGTAATAAATATGCATTTTCACCCTTTTTCAATAGGTCCTACAAAAGTACAATGTGATGTTTGACCAGAACATCTCGGCACTGAAGCCACTTCAACAGAAGTCTTTGGAAAATCTTTTGCATCATGGTGTTTTATCTATTTTGCCTACCGGATATGGAAAAAGTTTGTTATATGAACTTCTTCCTTTTTAGCTCACCTCAACGAAGTTGGGGGAGCTTATGTAATACCCTCGGCGTCGGCGTCCCAGGTTAAAGTTAAGTTTTTTGGAACAGTTTTCTTTTTAAGTACTTCTATGTCCTATATTGATTAGACATGCATGGAAGATGGTTCTAGTGTGTTTCATTGTACCAGTCAAAGTTTCAGATGCTGCAATTTCAGCAAAGGAATGACCAGGTTAATGTTTTTGGAGCAGGTTAACATTTTTGGTGTAGTTAGCTCTACTGGTCAGAGACCAGAAGAGCTTATGCGATAGTAATGCGTCCGTCGTCCGTCCGTCTGTCCGTCTGTCTGTCTGTCTGTAAACAATTTTTCAAAATGCTACTCCTCCTACAGTTTGGGTTTGATTTCATTTTAACTTGGCACACAAGTAGACTACACTAAGATACATAATTCTGTGCATCGGTTTTTGATTTCGATGAACGATGTTGCGGTGGTTACTAAAAATAGAAATTTCTTTGAAATTCTTTCAAAATGCTACTCCTCCTACAGTTTTGGTCCGATTTCAATATAACTTGGCACACAAGTAGACTTCTCTAACATACATAATTCTGTGCATCGGTTTTTGATTTCGATGAACGGTGTTGCGGTGGTTACTAAAAATAGAAATTTTTGTGAAAATCTTTCAAAATGCTACTCCTTCTACAGTTTTAGTCCGATTTCAATATAACTTGGCACACAAGTAGACTACAGTAAGATACATAATTCTGTGCATCAGTTTTTGATTTCAATGAACGGTGTTGCCGTGGTTACTAAAAATAGAAATTTCTTTTAAATTCTTTCAAAATGCTACTCCTCCTACAGTTTTGGTTCCGATTTCAATATAACTTGGCACACAAGTAGACTACTCTAACATACATAATTCTGTGCATCGGTTTTTGATTTCAATGAACGATGTTGCCGTGGTTACTAAAAATAGAAATTTCTTTTAAATTCTTTCAAAATGCTACTCCTCCTACAGTTTTGGTCCGATTTCAATATAACTTGGCACACAAGTAGACTACACTAAGATACATAATTCTGTGCATCAGTTTTTGATTTCAATGAACGGTGTTGCCGTGGTTACTAAAAATAGAAATTTCTTTTAAATTCTTTCAAAATGCTACTCCTCCTACAGTTTTGGTTCCGATTTCAATATAACTTGGCACACAAGTAGACTACACTAAGATATATAATTATTCTTTATATCGGTTTTTGATTTCGATGAACGGTGTTGCGGTGGTTACTAAAAATAGAAATTTTTGTGAAAATCTTTCAAAATGCTACTCCTTCTACAGTTTTAGTCCGATTTCAATATAATTTGGCACACAAGTAGACTACAGTAAGATACATAATTCTGTGCATCGGTTTTTATTTTGATGAGCGGCAAGGATCATTTTTCTATTTATTGCTGTTTTAAAGTTTCAAGTCCCAACTGCTACTTTTCTCTTCCTTTGTTTTATAAAGTATAAACCAGTAGAGCTACAGTCTCGACAGAGACTTCTGGTTTTTGGTGTAGGTTTCATTTCCAAGTAACTATAAGCCCTATGAAGACCAACCTTGCACAGATGATTTATCTAAGGATGCATACTACTGGGCTTCGGATGCTGAATCTGACCTACATTTTCCAGTTGAGTGAACAAGTTAAAGTTTTTGGTGCAGGTTTCATTTCCAAGTAACTATTAGCCCTATGTTGACCAAACTTGCATGGATGATACATCTAAGGATGCACACTACAGTGCTTGCTTCGGATGCTGAATCTGACCTACATTTTCTGGTTGAGTGAACAGGTTAAAGTTTTTGGTGCAGGTTTCATTTCCAAGTAACTATAAGCCCTATGTTGACCAAACTTGCATGCATTATACATATAAGGATGTATATTACCAGGCTTGCTTCAGATGCTGTGTCTGACCTACATTTTCCAGTTGAGTGAATAGGTTAAACTTTTTGTTGCATGATTCATTTCCAAGTATCTATGAGTTCTTTAATGACCAAACTTGCATGGATGATACATATAAGGATGCATACTACCGGGCTTGCTTCAGATGCTGAATCTGACCTACTTTTTGTTGATGAGTGAAAATGTTAGTTTTTGATGCATGTTTCATTACCAATTAACTATGAGCCCTATAATGAGCAAACTTGCATGGATGATACATCTTAGGATGTACACTAATGGACTTGCTTCGGATGCTGAATTCGACATTCATTTTCAGATAATAGACCAGGTAAAAGTTATGGGTGCAGGTCTATTACCAATAAACTATAAGGCTTATATAACATTGGATAAACCAAACTTGCACAAATGTTGCATCAAGAGATGAAAACTCTCAAATTTGCTTCAGATGCTGGATTTTAATTACATTTTCATGAAGAAGAACTAGTTTAAATTTTTTATATAGGTCTATTTCAAAATCAGATTAAAATTGCTTAAATATTTTCATTTTTGGAATGTACACTTCTTGTTGGTTAATTGTGTGACTTTGCATTACTTAAAGACAACATTCATTGAGGTGAGCTCTGTAATCTCTGATTACCTATGTTTATCATTTGGAAGTGACTGGGAAGCCTGCAGTTGTTCTTGTCTTAGAACCTTTAAATGTTATAATTGAAGGACAAATGCAAAAACTGAAAGGCTCTTCCTTCTTTCTAAGGAATAGTAGTAGTTCCTGTCATGATTTTATGATTAATTGATTGATTGTATGACCCTTACAGAAATTTCTGATAAAAGACTTATAAGTGATTTATTCTTTTACTTATAAGTTATTTATTCTGGACGTACACTTCACTGATACATTTAACTTATAAGTGACTAATATGTTACTCATTATGATTTTATATGCAAATGAGCTGCTTGACCTATAAGTGACTTATAAGCCAGTATTAGCCACTTATGCTTTATGCAAGTATAGTCACTTATAAGTGACTATAAGTGACTTATAAGTCAAGCATTAACCCTTCATACTTTATCAAGTATTAGTCACTTATAAGTGACTATAAGTGACTTATAAGTGAAGTACAACACTACCTGTAAGATCTTAATTCAGAACAGAACTTCCAACCATGCAGGGGTTGCATGATATGTTCAAAGCTATTTTTTTTTTTACATATACACATGTATCTGCACCTTAGATGAAATAATCAAGTGAAAATTTTATGGAAAAAAATCACTTTCATATGACATTTCTTTGATGATGCAAACTTAACATATTAATTCAGTTTACAAACAAAAATGTTGAACAAAAAGGCAACAAGATTTAATGACCTTAAGGCTTCTTCAAATTTATGAAATATGAAAGCAACTGAGTCAATTGATTCAAAATTTCAGGCAAAGGAAGTTAAAATAGAGAGATGATGTAAATAGAACCTACTTGTTGTACCTGATGTGAAGGCATACTCAGAATAAATCGAAAATCTCCAACATCCTTTCACAGACACAAACTTGGTTTCAAATTCTTGTTGCTGATCTCTGCAGAGACAAACTTTCTGATTGGCTACCTTGAATACCCATAATGCTCCTTGAGAGAAGTCTAGTATAGGGTAAAAATTTTAAGTCCACACTTATACTTCGCTCATACCATACTGATCTTCACTTATAAGTGAGGTATAAGTGAAATATTCACTGATATGTAGCTCATCTTTACTTATAAGTGAAGTATTAACGAAATCCGTTCCTCACTTATACTTACTTTGACTTATAGTACACTTATAAGTAAATTTCAAAATTTATAAGTGACTTATAAGTTGCTAATAAGTGGATTATAAAACACTTATAAGTTTCTATTAGTTTTTTCTGTAAGGGGATGTTTAACGGTCCTCTCGAGAATTTTTCACTCATATGGAGACGCCACCACTTGCTGCTGGAGGGCTACAAATTTTGTCCTATGCTAGGCACTCGGGGCCTTTGAGCAGTGAGGGATCTTTTTCGTGCCAGCACCTACTGCGACACGGGGCCTCAGTTTATACGGTCTCATGCGAAGGACCGGTCTCCACGTCCCGCAGTGGGATTCGAACCCGCCACGTAAGGATTGACTCCTTGCTTCACGACTCTAGAGCAGACGCTCTAACCACTGCGCCACGCAGGTGACCATGATTTTATGAAAGAGTTTGAGAAAGGAAGAACAAAGTACATTTTTGTGCACCCAGAGGCTGTTGTTGGAAAACTGGAGGTTTACAAATTTCTTCAGAGCATTTCTGACCCTATGTATATTGTGGTAGATGAGGCCCATTGCATTTTAGACTGGGGACATGACTTTCGCCCTATCTTTTGGGATATAAAGCAACTGCGTGCTGTCAGACCAGATGCTAAGTTTTTAGCTCTGTCCGCAACTGTTTCATTGAATGGTGTTGTTGATATTACTAAATTCCTTGGCATGGAAAACTCAAAATTAATTAAAACATCACCATTGCTTGACAATCTCTCTTTGATTGTTCTACGAAGACCCAGGAGAAAAGTGTCTACACATGCACCCTATGATTACATTTTTGAAAATATGGTTTGTGATCTGAAAAGAAAAAAAGAGGATTACCCTGTCACTCTCATATTCTGTGTTGGAATTAATTGGGTTGGATATGGCTATGGGGTATTATAAACAGTATATTATATGTATTGCAAATTACAGTACCAGTATAATCATATAATCTGAACAAAATACTTTCTGCTTGTCAACTTTTTGTACATTAAGTCAAATTCTTGTAAGCTCTCATATTCGCAAACTACTAAACAATTTTTCTAAAGAAAAGTTATTTAATATTACTCAGGTTGCACAGCGGATTCTGGGAGATGATATGTTTGAAGGAGCAAAAAATATTAAAAATGCCAGAGTAATGATGTTTCACTCATCAATTGGAAAATATGAAGAGGTATGTTCAAATTATTTGTTCTTCAAGTTATCCTCAGTGACACAAGAACTTTTTTTAAAACAAAAATTATCAAATTACATAAGCTTCAATTTCACTGATATAGTGTCATTTAAACTATATTTTGATAGTTGAAAATTGAATGTGATAAAAGTTATACATAATGAACAATTTTATAAATGTAGACAAAAGATATGATCTACAAAAACATTTCCAAACACCCAAATGAAACTCCATTACGAGTTGTGATCTCCACTATTGCACTAGGGATGGGGGCAGACTTGAGAAATGTCAGAACAGTCATCCATGCAGGACCACCACAAAACATTGAAGGTTATTTCTTTCACTTTAAAAAAAAAAACAAGAAAAAAAAAATAAAGACAATAAGTTAATAAACAACATATTGCATGATTCATTTGATTTGGTTATGTAACAATCACAATCTTTAGTTACAGATACACCAGTTTAACTGGTGTGAATAATTATAACTATCGGTAATATACAAATCAGGGGAGCTATTTTTAGCAGTCCTTTGAATAAAACATTCTCAAATTCATAATATAGTAAATTACATATATAATTGAATCATGATTTGTTGGAATACCTTTTCCCTTTTGAACAGCATACATACAGTAAATTGGAAGAGCTGGCAAAAGTGGTGTCCAGGCAGAAGGATTGATTGATTGTATACTGTTTAACGTCCCTCTCCAGAATATTTCACTGATATGGAGACGTCATCATTGCCGGTGAAGGGCTGCAGATTTAGGCCTATGCTTGGCACTTAATTATGGCCTTTGAGCAGGGAGGGATCTTTATCGTGCCACACCTGCTGTGACACGGGGCCTCAGTTTATACGGTCTCATCTGAAGGACCGCCCCATTTAGTCTCCTTTTACGACAAGCAAAGGGGTACTGAGGACCTATTCTAAACCGGATCCCCACGGGGCTAGGTAGAAGGAATATTGTACTTCAACAATTCTGACACAGGTAACTGACACAGGTAATTCCCCTGTTAAGGAAACAATGAAGGAATACTGCAAAAATGAGTCAGAGTGCAGAAGGAAAGTTCTTAATATATATTTTTGTTGTGAAAATGAAACAGCTGTGAACAATTACTCTGACATTTGCCAGCCAGACCTGGGCATCCTTTGGAAATTCAATGAAATTCCAAACAGTATGCAGAAATCTGTTATTCGTGAAAAAATAGTTAACCTTCTAGCAGAAGCAAATTTTGGAGAAAATAGTTAATGAAGCACATTTGATTACAAACTCTGAATATCTTGTATCAGAATTTGGATTGGATGCAAATCTGTCCGAGAAAGTAGCCAGCATTTTGGCATCCGAGTGAAATTATAAAGAATGTACACGTTATTTAAGTGACCCTCATAAAGATCAGCAATTATAACTGACATTTGAACTAAGTAACTATACCCAAGTGAAAATTTTTTCAAACAAATCACTTACAAATTGCCTACAAATTACTTTAAAATAAAAAAAAGTGACTTGTTTCAGTGATTTTTAAGCAATTCATCTAACAAACCATGCATAAATCACTTTCTACCAAACTGATGACTATGATTTGAAAGGGTGATTTGCTTGTGATTTCTTTCCCATTTCAAACACTTTCTGAGTGATTTGTTAAACTTAGAAAATTGTTACAGTGATTTCTTCATGATTTGTTGAACTTAGCCGTTTTTCAAGGTGATTTGAAAATGATTTCTGGAACCTAGTCTTTCTTCAAAGTGATTTGAAGATGATTTGTTAACTTAGTCTTTCTTCTGGATGATTTGTAAATGATTTGTTGATCTCATGGTCCTCCTCCAGAGTGATTTGAGAAGATTTACTTCATAACTTCTGCCTGGCTTGCTGATTGGTCAGTGTTAGAAACTCTATCGCCAATTTTCATTAACCAGATTTGAATTGAAATGAAAGGAGCCAGATTGTGTTGTTCTAGATTTATACCTCTCTTCTTTTGTTGAAACTGATGCTTTTTCCATAACCATGCAGAGTATAGTTTTAAGGTATGTATAACTGTATTATGCTATCATTTCCTTCTTAGATTCAATTAATATTCCATGTGTTTACATGCAATTTATTGTTCTTCTTACCAACATTACAAAGTCGGTGGCAATTAATGTTTAAAACAAAATAATTATGTAAAGCTATAACCTTCAGAAAAGTACTGGCTTTTTCAAAGTGTGTTGACAAATACTTATTTCAGATAAGAAAACATTTACCAACTTCTAAAAGTCAACAATTAATACTTATATCATATTCTGAATTTGGAGCCAAGTACAATATAGACAATATAGACAATATTTTATTTCCAATTAAGGGCCCCCAGAGAGGCATGAAAGATACATGTGTAGACAAAGGCAATCAATAAGTAGATGAACCAAAAATACAGTAATTTGTGTTAAAAATAAAAATACATACATATCATATTGTTGTTGTGCTTTAAAATGTTATATTAAATGATTAGACAGGTACTCTCCAAGTTGAAGTAAGACATTCATATTTTCACATGTAATGATCCAATTGAAAAATATTTTTGAGAACTATCTAAGCTATGAAAATTTTTATTATATTTCTGTGCTTCATTTAGAAGTTTGATTCTTCTTTCTTTGTAAAAAGGACAGTCTATGGTAAAATGTATTTCATTTTCCACTACATTCAAATTACATTTTTCACATATTCTTTTGTCTCTTTCAAGTCCAATATATCTGCCAGTTTCAATTTTGAGTTTGTGAGAAGATATTCTTAATCTGGTTATACCTCTTCTAAAGTTAAAGTTATTTACTAATGTTAAATATTCCTCACATGTGTGTATATCTAAAATAAATGATGCCAACTTAATGAGCACACATCCTAGTAAAAGTTAATATTTTAAAATACTCTTGCCCAAAGTTTTTTTGTTAACATACAACAAATATGCATGCATGTGTGTTTCAAATATTTTAGGGATGGTTAAATGAGCATCATGCATACAAGTGTGTATCCACCTGGAGTGATTTGAAAGTGATTTGTTAAACTGAAGTGATTTGTTTGCAATTTATTTGAAATGATTTGTTTGCAATTTATTCGGAGTGATTTGGTTGCGATTTGTTCAACAGAAGTGATTTCTACACAATTTATTCAAAGTGATTTGTTGAGATTACAGGGTGATTTGCTTACAATTTGTTAGATCCTGAGTGATTTGTTAGCTCATTTGCATGGGAATTTGCATCACTTACAAATTATCTTCAAATCACTGATTCATGTGATTTCTTAAAGTGATTTGTTTGAGGATTTTTTTCACTTGGGATATGTAAATATAAGAGAGTTTAATATTATACGAGGGGCATTTCAAAAGTTCTGGCAACTACTAGTATTTCATAAAAGATTAACCGTTTTACGGAAATCATTGAGTTTGATATCATTGGAAATATCAGAAAAATATACACATATTGTGACGTCACTTTATAATTTTTATGACGTAATAACTCCGTAAATGACGTCAGAATATTAAAATTTAATGTTTAGCATACTGAAAAGTCGCGTTTTTATCCGCATGAGACGATCGTAAAGGTTCTGTCAAAGGCTTATTTGAAAAAATATTTCAAGGAAAATTTTATTTTGCAAAGAGGTAGAGTAGGACTATGATACTGTTTATCATCAATTCCATTATTCATTGTATGGTTTGTTTACGAGCACGGTTTATGTCCGGTTATGCTATCATAGACATCCATTTAAGATTTTTATTGACATGATACAGCTGGATTTTCGGTCTTTTATATAGCTCTCCATTGTTTGAAATAAAACATGTTCTGTATTAAACTGAAGTATATTAATGCAGTTTTCATCAAATATATTTTGAGCAACAGGACTCTTGCCGTTTACAAATAAAATGTACTAAATCTTGTCCCCGACTTGATTATGTGCGTATTTTTTCATATAAATTTAACTTCGGCGCCCCAAAACTCACCACTCTTTTGACTTTTGAATCCAAAAAATGAATACAAGTTACTCAGCATGTAAAGTCTTATTTACTTTCCATGCATTAAAATTTGCGAATATGTCGAGGTATGGTGGGGTTACAACTGCGCTGCCGCCATTTTGGATTTTACGAGAAAATATGGGGCACACTAAACTTAACTTCTCTTGAGCCTTCATCGATGCCACAAATCTGGTTAAAACACCTGACGAATTTATTCCATCGAATTTTGTAACACGATCGCCTATTTTTTTTTTTTTTTTTTTTTTTTTTTTGGATTGTCAACTTTGTCTTTTTCTCACATTTAGGTCTATTTCACGCAAAAGTTTGAGCGAGATTCGATAAAACCATGCTAATTTTGACACTCGCTAAAACCAATTCAGAACAAGAAGATCTCCAAAATAAAATGCCATATGATAGATTGTTGTCTTTGTAAACATTCCACCAACTGGCATTTGCGTCCGTTAAGTTGCGTCCGAGTAATGAGCAAAAGTTGTCTAGAAAATTTTAATTTGATCAAATTGTGTCTTTTGTTACGTCATTTGTATGGTCAGTATGCTAAACATTTAATATTCTGACGTCATTTTCGGAGTTATTACGTCATAAAAATTATAAAGTGACGTCACAATATGTGTATATATTTCTGATATTTCCAATGATATCAAACTCAATGATTTCCGTAAAACGGTTAATCTTTTATTAAACAGTTGCCAGAACTTTTGAAATGCCCCTCGTACTTTAAAGCTGAACACGATTCGTAAAAGGAATCTGTCCGCCATTTTTCTTCCCGAGTCTCGCTACTCTGCAGATCCCTATAAATAGGGCAAAACTTTGTCACTGTTCAGTGTAATCAGTCGACACCGGTGTAGACGGACGTATGCTATACAGAACTCGGTAGCGAGAATAATAAGATAATACTTCGTCTAATGCAGGAAAATAAGATACCAAATAAATTTACAATTATAGTTGTATAAGTCAGTGCAGTATACAAACAACACAGAAAAACGTAACTGCAATAAAATATAAACAAAATAACCAGCACAAAAAGGGGTCGCCGTTCCACGCCGATACCCGTGACAATAAAGCAGTCAGGTGTAACGAATGCGACGAGTATACCCTAGTATTGATGAATCGTAGATAATGTTATCAACCAGAAGTCTCTGTCGAGACTGAAGCTCTACTGGTTTGTACTTATAGCAAAGGAAGAGAAAAGTACTTAAGCAGTTGGAAATTGAAACTTTTCAACAGCAATAAATAGAATAATGATCCTTGATTAAGTCTCTATATGTTCTTAGTGCAGTCTACTTGCATGCCACATCTATATTATAATCAGACTAAAATTGTATTTGGAGTAGCATTTT